GTGAACAGAGGCCTCAATGTCCTCAGGGTCATGGGCATTTTAAATGGGGCAGGGCCTTCTTGACCATGGCAGCCAGGCACTGACTGCTCCTGACTGGATGGTCAGCTCATGGCTTTTTGGTCTCCCAAACAGTTCCTTCCCACAGCCACAGCTTACTGTCCGTGCATTTTGAGTCGAGACTCAGCACTTTGAAATTCCTTGCTCCCCAGAGTGTGGAGAGTGGGGTGTGAGCCCTCCAGCCGCATTGGATGTCCTGGTCCCCTTTTGACTTGTTCCGTCCTCTGATACAGCCCTGCTCACACTGAAGGTTCCCCTGGGCTTCCTCTGAGCCACCACCACTAGAGAACCTGGGCTTCCTGTGCTGTCGCCTTACCTCCTGACTGCTGGCAGGTCTTCCCCACAGGGCATCTACACAGCTTCCTGTGCTGTCGCCTTACCTCCTGACTGCTGGCAGGTCTTCCCCACAGGGCGTCTACACAGCTTCCTGTGCTGTCGCCTTACCTCCTGACTGCTGGCAGGTCTTCCCCACAGGGCATCTACACAGCACAGTCATGAGATTTGTAAGCACTAACGCACAGCTGAGTTCTGGAGTCATTGTGTAGACTTACGGCTGCTTTTACGCTCCGCTTTGGGCAGTTCAGGTCAGACTGAGACTGTTAGTAATAAAGCAGTGGTGGATATATGTTGCAGATGTATGGATGTCTGGGGTGCTGCAGGTGAGAGCCAGGAGACCAGGTCAGTGACAAGGAACTGTCTTGTCTGAAGAGTGGAAGACTAGAGCAATCTGAGGCAGATTTGGAGCCCCTTGTGGGCCAGTGCTTCTTGGAGTACATGGGCTTGATGTGGCCTTGGGCTGGCCTCTGTGGGTTCTGGAAAGGCAGGGGAACTGTGGGGCTGTCTGGGCTTAGCTGGGATGTGCCAGCCCTGTTTCTTCCAGTCCAGGTCAGTATGCTTGTAGACAGGTGTCACCTCGAGTCTCAATCAAACAAGGACACAGCTCCTCAACTTGGGCCACCCGAGAGAAGCTGCTGCAGAGGCTGGCCTGTTGTGAGGGCCCCATGACCTCGCTGTGACTGCAGATGTGCATTTTGTTTTCCTGTCGTCTTTGGCAGTGAAGCTGGTTTTCACTCCTCACGTAGAATTTTCTCTCCAATGTTTTTCCATCAGTCCGTTTGCTGAACCTATCTGTTTCCACAAGATTTTCATATTTTTTATTTTCCAAAAGTCTGTAATTTCTAAAACTCTTTCTGAAAATTTTAAAGAGATGGTAGGATTCTGTGCAGGTGGCTTATGAATGCATTCTTCATTCTGTCCGCGTGTCATCCAGGTCAGGCTCAGTTCTCTGCAAACTAGCTGCCTCCTTCTCTGTGCGGGCCAGGCTGAAGCAGGTTCCCCTGCTGTCTCTGCCCAGGTACTCCAGCCTTACAGTTCTGCGAGTACAGAAATGACCATTTCTCTGATGATTCCTTTGTCCTTAAGATTATGAGTTTGTGACCTGTTATTAGATGGTGAAGCCAATTTCATGTCATACCCATATGAAAGCAGACTCTACTTAACCCTTCTGTCTAGGGAAAGTATACTGGGATTTGACTTTGGGGTCACCCCATACATTGTGGCTGATAGAACTTGCTGACCAAGCCCCTGGGATTCTGGCACCCAGCTATGCTTTTTATGAAAGAAGTGCCATTTACTGTCTGTCTACACCCCATGGTTCTGTGCCCTGGGGAGACTCATCTTTACAGCAGGGCAGGGCCCACCAAATGCACTGCCAGCGGTCTCAGGTCAGAGAGGGTTTGTAGGGGCACTGCAGAAGAGGCGTGTCAGTGTTAGTGGTGGGGAATAAGGATGGCCTCAAGGTCGCACTAGCTTCTGTCTACCTCAGTGCACACAGGTTCCACAGTCTTCCCCTCCCAGGTCTAGGTGAGGTTCCCTTAAGCATGTCTGTGGAACGGTACTTCTTTCCCTCGGAACCCATGCTCCACTTTCAACACTGCACTTAACTACTGCGGTCACTTGATTACTGTCTTTCCCCCTCCTGCTAGAACATGAACCCCATGAGGCCAGGCATTGGCCTGCTTTTTTGTGCCTGTGGGATCTAGTGTGTCACTGGCACAAGCTCAGCACCACCCATGCTGGGTCTGAGCCACCCACCACATGTTAAATGTCTCATAAAACCCTCATAAGACGCCATGACTACGTCTTGTTTCAGAGAAGGCATGAGTTTTGCAAACATGGGATGTGCAGGCAGACAGGAATTGGAGTGCTGAAACCCAGCAGAGGCCTCATCCTCTACCACACCGGGGCCAAACTGGTAGGATACAGGTTTCCAAGGTGTGGTTCTGGCCCCCATGGTTTCCTATCTGTGGTTTAGGGAACAGACTCAGGCCACTAAGCCAGGTGGTGAGAACCAGCTCATTGGAAGTCTTCAGCAGGCACTGCTGGTATGGATCTGCAGGCCTGAAGCTCTTGGTGTGGTCTGTCACAAGTGCAGTGTAGGGAGGGGGGAGCCACCTGCTCTTGGGCGCAGGGGTGTCTTTCCTCACCTCTGAAAACACACGATGGTAAAGGCAGCGAGATGGGGAGAGGTGAAACTAGTAAGCACTGTTAAGTTTGTCTTTACATGGACCTCTTGTTTTGATGGAAGAAAATACTGACACCGGTGGCCAGCTCCCATAGCAAACACTTACCAGGGCCACAACAGGACCAAGTAGCCAGGCCTACGGGGTTTTGAACTGGCTTCATATTTGTGAGGTGAACCTCTCATTTCCATGGTAACCAACTAAGATGTTGGTTGTGATATGGGGTTGACCTCACAGGACAGTTGCAGCAAGAAGCAGATGTACTTTGAGACAGAAAGCTTACTTACTCTTTGGCCTTGAGCAAATCATGAGTAACTGAATCTGTTTCCTCCGTGACATGAAGGAGCGTGATGTGATGACTGCCAGAGACTCGCACCACAAAAGCACTGTGCCATTGATCTGAACCTCTGATCTACTTGTGCTGTTTGGCTGCTTGCCACCTCTGCCTCACCCTCCCCTGACCTAGTTCTCACTGCCTGACACCTTGCACCTTGTTTTCAATCATACTGGCTGGTGGCTGATTCCTGAGTGGGCAGTTTCCTGCCCACCCAGGACCTTTGCACTACAGCCCATGCTCCTCCCTAGAAATGCTTATCCACTCCTGCACATGCTGGGCAAGCGCTCTACTGTTGAGCTCCACCAGGCCAGCCTTGCGCTTCTAGTCCTTGCAGGCACCAGCGATCTGTGAACCCCACCTGGCCAAGTGCTTGCTGCTTCCCTTTTTTGAGTTTATTATAGCTACAGAACTGGAACATATAGGCCATTAAGGCCTCATGAAGAATCCTTTTGTGATTCGTTGCCTGACTGATTTCGTAGGAAACAAAATTTCAATGAGTAAACACCTTGTCGGGGTTATGTAGGTAGCAAGTAGGGAACAGAAGTTGAGAGCAGGGCAGGTACCACATCGTGGATTTGTGGTTTGCCTTCCACCTTTTTCCTGCTGCGAGGGTCTTGCCTTTGCTCGTCTCTCTGGCTTTTTGTGTTGTCACTCCAGATTGGTCCAGGCTCACCCCACCCAACAGTTCTCTGGCTTTTTGTGTTGTCACTCCAGATTAGTCCAGGCTCACCCCACCCAACAGTTCTCTGGCTTTTTGTGTTGTCACTCCAGATTGGTCCAGGCTCACCCCACCCAACAGTTCTTTTCCTACTCGATGCCCATTCTGCCTCCCAACACTGCCCTGTCCATGTCCTTGAAAAACCCCAGCTCAGTGCTGTGTTCTTGGAGGACCTGTGCCTGGCTTTGTAAACTGCGTCAGCATTCTAGTAAATGGTCAGTGGACGGGTGGCCACTTGGCCACCTTCTCTCCAGGAAAAGACCTGAGTATGGGGAGTGGCCAGGTCCCAGCTGTGCACACCAGGGATGTCTCTGAGAGCCATACAGACCTGGGTATGAGAAATGACTGGATTCCAGCTGTGCACACCAGGGATGTGTGAGAGCCACACTGTTCGTTGCTATAAGACCCCTGAGGTGCTTTGATATCCTGTCCTTTGGGAGTGTTGGTGTTTTTTTTGTTTTGTTTTGTTTGTAGGGCCTTCCCTCCCCACCCCACCCCTGTTCTGTGTTCGAGTCTGCTGACTTGTGCCACAGTGGACACATTAACAGGACGAAGGATCCTGTGATATACAAATACATCACGTGCATAGTGCGTCACAAGAGTAAAAACTTAGTGCCTAGGAATCCAGTGAGATTTAAAAGCTTAGAACACTCTTCACGGAAGATGCAGGCATGTGTAGACAGAACTAAATGAATTTTAGAGGTGCATGGACCCTGTGAGCAGGCAACAGTCCCTGGACAGAGATTGTCAGGTGATGGGGAGCCAGCACTAGCCGTCTCCTGCTGTCTGTGTTGGTGTTTTCTGGGTCGGGACTGAAGTAGCTGCCCATCTCCTGGGTGCTCCACCTGCAGGTGGGGTGGGAGCTGCAGAGAAGGCCTCGCTTGCACCTGCTGCAGGGCTCGCTCACTTCCACGTACTCTGTGCAACAAAGCACCGTGTTTGGAGCACCGCTTTCTGAGCCCCAGCTTGTAACCGTTCGTTCTTGTTTCCTGATGCAGCATGGTGAGGCGCCTTCTGTTTAATTTGTATGTACCCTTTGGGGCGTTGTCGTAGTTCCTGGAAAGGTAGGTGAGCTGAGAATGTCTTTTACAGGAGTAAAAATGGTGCCATAGTTACCAGTTATATTTTTGGATGCTTTGGTTTTACTTTGTTCACTTTCATATGCAGATTAAATGCTCATTTCCTACTCCTGGGCTTAGAGACATGGTATTGCTTGCTTGGACTGTTTTTGGCTAGTTTCTTGATTAAAATTGCCACGATATAGAGAAGCCACAGCCAATGTTCCTTGACTTAACACTCGAGTCACTGCAATTAGCACTCTGGTCTCAGGTCCCTTGTCCCACGACTTCTGCTCTGCTCTTTCTAGGGAAAGTACGGTGGCCAGACTTTAACCAGGAGGCCTACGTCGGAGGGACAATGGTTCGCTCAGGGCAGGACCCTTATGCCCGCAACAAGTTCAACCAGGTGGAGAGTGACAAGCTGCGCATGGACAGGGGCATCCCTGACACCCGGCATGACCAGTGAGTACCTCCAGGAAGTGCCTCCAGCATAGCCAGAAAGTTCAGCTACATCCAGCATGGCCAGGGAGTGCCTCTAGCAATGGCTAGAGAGTCAGTTCCTCCAGTCATGGCCGGGAAGTTACCTCCAGGTATACACCATGGCTCTGTATGCTTTCACACAGGCCTTGTGACACTAGGATTCCCTGTTGCACTGGGAAGCTGCACATGGGCTGTTCCTGCCTAATGGTGTGAAGGTGAAACTTCCCGGAGGAATGGGGATCATGCCCTGTGGCCATTTGCAGAGGCTGTGGGCTGCTGGCCAGAGGGGTCAGAAGGAATAAGCTGTGCTGGCCTCATTTGCTGGTCACTTGTTATTTTGAAGATCCATTCACAAAATACTGAATTTTTTGTTGTTCACAACCTTGGGAGAAAAAAGATGTGAATTCTTACTCATTGGGAAGCTGAAGTAGGAATTCTGGAAACTAAGAGGAAGTGGATCACCCAGCAGGGCTGGTGCTAAGTGGCATAAAAATGGGTCACTCCTAGTACTAAAGGAAGGGCTTCATTTGCATCCCATTTTATTCTTTAGAGAAGTTGAGGGCTGGAACTTTGGTGAGTTTCTTGGTTTTTGGTGGTCCTGGGGGTTGAACTCAGGGTATTGTGCTTAGTAGGCAGGTGCTTTACCCCTTGAGCCTTACTCTTAGCCTTTTTTGCTTTACTGATTTTTGGGATAGGGTCTTTCATTTCTTGCCCAGGCCAGTCTGGACTGTAATCCTCTATTTACATTTCCAGTGCAACTGAGGTGACAAGCGTATACCACCATTCCCAGTTTTATTAGTTGAAATGGGGTCTTGATAATTTTTTGCCTGAGATGGCCTCCAACCTCTATCCTCCTAATCTCCACCTCCTAAGTAGCTGGAATTACAGGTTTGAGCCACCATGCCTGGTGCTTCTCTCTTAACAGTTTTCTTTGAGTTCTGGTCAGCTCTGTCACTTAAAGCATCTCTTATTTAGGAAACGTAGCTTTGTGATCCTTTGGGATCACATGATCATACTCAGACATACATATTATTGTAATAACAAGTCTCATTGTTTTTCTAAGTCCAGCTTTCACTCAGTGTTTCCTGTCGTTCATTAATGTCTTTAAGCCAGTTTTATTTAGTCCTTAGGCTGTGCTTCTGGCTAAATTCAGCCTGCTTTAATTATTAAATATCCTGTCTAAATTAGGGACTGCTTGCCTGGGACCCAGGGACCCTAGGAAGCCTTGAGCCTGAAGCCAGGTGTGGGTCATGGGTGTGTACATACACATGTGTCTGGGAGCACATTCCTGGTTCTTTCCAGACGATCCCAGGTGTGTGTGTCCCCACTGCTCTCCCCTCAGGCTAGTATTCTGTGCTAGAAGTCCCTTGGGGACCTGCTCACAGGATCGTCATGACCCATGATAGGAGACATGAAGGTCATTTTTCATGTCTAAAGAGAGGAAACCTGGGTACCTGGCATGTTGACAACCTGTCCACTGATTAAGAGCTGCTGACCTGAGGCCAGAAGGGATGGTGCAGCTCTCAACAGGGGGTTGGCTAAAGCCAGGAGGATGTAGTTGAGTAGAATCTCGGGAAGATCTTACCTGGCCACTTCAGTTGAACACTTGGAGTTTCATCTCCATGAGAAGGTTGAGTATTGTGCCAATGGCTGGTATCAGAGATGACTCCCACTAAGGTGTCACCTAAGATAACACCTGAACACTCTCTTCTCCCCCAAGCTGGATGAGGGGCCTTTCTGGGGCTCATCAGCATGGGACTGGGCTTCCCATCCGCTGCTTCCATCATTAAGTCTCCTCAGAGTCCTCAAAGCTGTTCATCCATGCTCTGTTCAGTGTTTTTGGAATAAGCATTTGTCCAACAGATGTTCAAATATCCCTCTTGTGATGGGTGCAACTAGGTGGGTTAATTTTAGCTCAGCTACTGTGGCAAATTCATTTGCATGTGTTAAAGCAGCAGCTGGGAGGAACTTCCATGCTTGTTGGATTTGGGCTAAATTAATTTCCACCCAAAGCCAACTTGGTACCTGGACCCAAAGGTTTGACGTCCTCCCGTGTCAGCCTGGGAAGCCATCTTGTCATGGGAGGTCCTTAGGACCCCCAGGGTGACTATGACCAGTATTACAGATGTGGCCTTTTCGTGTGAGCTTTCTGTGCACAGTCTCCCCTTGTGTGGGTCTGCAGTGGGGACCAGGCAGTGGTAGTTACTCTCCATAGTGATGAGCCTGGAGGAAGTGCAGGTGAAGGCTGACTCAGAGCATGGCGCATGGAACCCTGAGGACCTAGGTTGAAACCCGAAGCCCTCCAATGCTTAATTCTTTGGCCTTTGTCATCTGCAAGGTGATGTGCATTGCTCTGTTGAAACCCTGTGAGGGTCAAACCATATCTACTTAGTTAGGCCTCAGGGCCTAACTCTCCCTGAGGTGCTTCACAGAGAACACCCAAAGAGGCCATCTCCCAGAACCACGGCCTCAGCCCCTCCGCAGAGCCCACTCCTTCCCTCCCTAAATTTCCTGAAGTTCCCACATAGTTCTTTCACCACCAACACCATGCTCTTCGTTGTCTGACTGCCCATCAGAATCACGGACTGCTATGTTTGTGGACTTTATTCTGACACCTCTTGGCACTCAGGAAGTGGTTTGTTGGGGAAGTAACAGCACCTTGCTTGGGTCATTAGTGCCATCAAGAAAGATCTGAGGAGTGAAGGTGGAGGTGGGGAGATGCTTCAGCCGTGGAGGTCACAGGAGCCCATGTGAGCCACAGGGCTGTGTTCTACCGGTACCGGAGAGCTGTGGGGTTCTGGGTTCTGATCCAACCCTACCACCTGTAGGTCAGATGCAAGGAGCCAGATGTTCAAGGCTTCAAAATCAACGGGTGTGCTGAGGAGGTGACTGTCCCTTGGTGCATTCCTTGGGAGGGCATGCAGTTTGCTTGGAAACACATTAATGGGAAAGCCAAGCGTGGGATCCCCCAGAACCAGAAAGTTTATGGGCTCTCAGTCCCTCAGCAGGGAAAGCTGGACATGGTTTACTTGGAAGTTGTTTATGGAAGTAAATCAAAATAAGCCTCTGAGGGAAACACACCATCTTTGTTTTCTTCTTTCCCCTGTCAGCCAGACACCATTCCTTTTCATTTGTTTCATTAACTCCCTGGGAAATGAGAGCATGTTGGCAAAGGGACAAGTCTTCTCCAGCTTTTAGACATTTGTCATTAGAAAGTTTATCCCTGCATTGCCATCATTTCTTTTTGCCACTAGTTTAAAATGTGGGGCTTTGAAACGTTTGAAATATGCTTGCTTCTCATACTGAAAATTGGCCCTGAGAGCAGGGTGCCCAGTCCCACCCCACAGGGGTGCCTCTAGGAGAGGAGCTTGTCCAGGTCATATGTCTGATGGCCTGTCTGGGCTTTCAGTGAGGTAGCTTGTCACTTTCAGTGAAGTAGCTTGTCTTCACTCAGTTTGCAAATTACAATCTCTCAGTCTTGTCTTGTTTAGAAGAATCTAAAGAATCTGACTGACATCTTTCAGAACGCCTGGCTCCAGCACAGCATCCAAGGTGTTTCGCTGAGGCTGTGCTCTCAGAGGCGTTGTTCATTTATGTATTGTGAGGATGTTGCAGGGAGAGGCAGGCGTTCTCCCTGCAGTATCTGTGTTAGCTTGTATTCTGACAGAGCCTGGCCAGGACAGTGGGGAGAGATGCAGTCCAAACTTTCATTGTTTCTCTTGCTGATGCCAAGAAAAAAATTCTCACATTGGCTCAATCAGCATGGGGGAGGCTGCTGGAAGGCGGTTGTGGAGTTTTCCTTAGTGGGGCAGAAGATCTGGTTAAACAAGAAGCCTGCTCCTCTCCCCACTGCCGGCGAGTGCAAGGGATTGAGGGGACTCTGAATTCTGTCTCTCATCATCTCATGAACATGTGCTACCTGCCTTTTGTCAGCCACTCTTGGCCAGCTGCCCTGCATTTACTCCTCCATGTTGATGGGCAGACCCAATTTCTTGATCAGGTAGAGGAAGTGGCAGGATCTGGGTATCACACACAGGGATGGCACTCATCTGGCTCAGGTGGCCTTCAGGCCCTATGGCTGGTATAGGTGGAGCTTCACTGTGGTACATGGAGGGCCCTAAAGGTTTGCTCTTCAGTCCCAATAACAGCGTTTGTAGGGATGGAGGTCTGTGCCCAGCCTCTCACCTGCATTGGTATTCTTAAACTTTTTTCTTCTACATCGCTCTTATGAAGTGGGTGGGGTTCTTCTGATGACTTCAGAAGCCAGTTCCTAGAGCCCTGGACTCAGAGCCCACCCCAGAAGACTCAGCTCTCACCAGGAGGCAGACTAGGGATGGGTCTCAGTGGGAAGACTGAGGTGGCTTTCCTCCCCTGCTCCCACTTCCTGGTCTTAATGCGGTGAGCAGATTTGCTTCATGTCCCCTTTCCCATCCCCATGATGACTGTGCCTTACCACAGGCCTACAGCAGTGGAACCAAGAAACTATGGACTGAAACCAAGAGCCAGAATAAACCTTTCTTTTGAGTTGATTTTCTCAGGTATTTTGTCACAGTGATGGAAGACTAATAATCATCACCAGTGGGGATGTACATAGGGAGGGCCAGGCAGCTAGGCATTCCTGGATCTCTTAAGGTCCCTCTTGTTCTGGGAAGCCAGTGGGAGCCATGAAGTTCTTTATGTGTCTGTGAGGCAGGTATGGACACTGAGCCACAGAAATGGAGCCACTTCCCTGAGGCTGAACCTCGTGCTAGTAGAGGAATCAGAGCTCAGAGTTCTACCTGCTGGCTGCGGCTGCTGCCCAAGCTCCGAAGTGACTCTTGTTTCTGGCCTCTGGCACAAAGCCTGAACACATGCCTAAAACCAGGAAGCAGGGGGCGTTGGCATCTTGCAGCCAGACTCACTCCCCAGAGAAACTGTTTTCCTGCTGGCCCAGGCTGAAGGGATCCTGAGAGATTGGAAAGAAAGGATTTTGTTTTTCTTTC